GTCTGGTGTTACCGCTTCGGTGTCCCAGTTAGTATTGAACAGAGCGCATAGACTAGCAACAGACGGGTCATCTCTATCTTTCAGCAAATATTGGTGAAGGACGTAGGGTCAAGGAAAACTGTTTCTTCTCAATAAAGGGAGTCCATGTAGTTTCCTACAAACAGGACGTAACATCAACTTCCCACGTGGATTCAGGTGATACAGCAAGTGATAGTGTTGTAGTAGGCCTGTTGGATTGTCCTTCAAAATGTTCCGCCCAATGGGCTGAGAATGGATAGTCCAACTAACTGAGGAAATTTTCGACGTCGAGCACCGAATGAGTTGGAACATCATCATAATTGTACACCTTAGCTAGATGTGGGAAACACCTCAGCTACTGTGCCGCAATACATAGAAGGAAAAAGGAGAAAAATATGCAACAGCTGAGCTACCGGTAACGGATGAGCATCGTCCCGATAAGCTATAGCCGGCTACTGTGTAGCAAAAAAAATTACCATGCAAAAGTATATCAGGCTAAATAGTGAGATCGTGGTTGGAAGGGGGGGGGGTTAAGAGGTATGGGGTGGGACAAAGAAACTCACAGCACGAACGCTAATGAGGTCGGCTCCTACCCATATCAGCAAGTATATCCAGCCAAACGTGTTAATCGTCTTTCGGACCCCAACCAGGCAGCCGTGAAGCTCCAACCGAGGCCAGCTCCGAAGTAAGGGCCTTCATTCCTCTCGACCAAATCATCGCTTGGCCAACCCTCCTCTTCTTCCATCCACACCTCCGACGCGGAAAGAATGCACGACGCGGGAGTAGGTGGGCTGACATGCGTAACACGTAGCCGAGCCATCGGAGCCTAATGTGTGAAATAACTGCGCTAAGCGGTTCACTTCCTTTTCCTGTGCCGTAAACAAGGCGTCGAACACGCTTGTTGCTCATGCGGTGTTCCCACCAGATGTGAGCTAAATTACGAAGGCACCGGTGGTCGAACGTAACGAGCCTCTTTATGTCTGTTGATCCAAGGGGCCAGGTTTCACAACCGTACAGTAGGGTCGAACGTACCGCTGCACTGTACACTCCACCCTTCAGGGCAAGAGTAATGTCGCGCCGGCGTCATAAGTGGCGAAGGTTAGCACCACCTTATTCTTAATAGCACTGGATCTCTTCACCTCACGGGTCCTTGACACCAACCAGCGCTCCAGGTTAGGCCTAGGGCTCCTAGTCAATGGTCGTTTCATGTTGCCGCAAACATGATGAAACAGAATGACCAACAGAACTAGTTTACGTGCCTTGGTCAAAATTATCAAACCTCTAGAAGCCTCTAAAATATGCGGATGCCTCCATATCACCGAACAAACAACATCCAGTATTTTCTGCATGGTTCATTAATAGTATGTTCATTCTGTGGTCGGATCAATAAGCTAGTTCGATAATGTGGGACGTTACGACCCGGGTCGATATTATCGCTTAAGAGACTGCGAGTGCAGTTGACCAGAAAGAACCTTCGACGATGAACAATTATCCGTAGCATAAAAAGTCCAGGACTGCTGACTATTCAGTGACCGCGGATTGCTATCCAATGTTGACCCCATTCTTTCGACATTTCATGTGAGCCTTTCCAGATATATTCACAAAAGAAGTTCCAGTACAGAAAGATAGCATACAATATGTAATGATGTCTGAGAATACATACGTCGGTACCTGTCGTTATACACGAAGCATCTAGTTCATACTGCACAGTACCACTAGTTACAGGAGTATCAACAGAATAGCTGTGTACTGAGCCGTTTACGAATGCTCTTAGCTAAGAGGTAGACCTCGACGCGAGAACGATTTGCCTCACTGATCTCGTGTTTAAAACGCTTTTGCATCCGGGGCCCAGACAGGTTGCTCTTGCTGTTGATTAAATTGCAAGGTACAGATATGCCATTTTGGCTGCTCGAAATGTTTGCGTTCTCCCTCAAATTGTGAATATTGTCCTATGTAGTGCAATAAAGAGATAATCATGCCGCGACACATGTGGAACTTCACACAATATTGAAAACTATCGCCCTATAAATCACGCGCCTAATGTAACTAAAAACAGAGGGGACAGAGAAGAGAATTGTTGAATACCTGATTGGTAGGTCGCATCATGGGTTTATAAAGACTTATCAAACACATTTTCTCAACAATCTGACAACGGCCACTGAGGGCAAAAACAAATCTCTTGGTTTTGTTGAATTTGAGTACTGCCTCTGATTGGACATCGCGAACAACATTTGGCCAAAATCCGATCTGTTAACATTAGAGACAGGGTTGAAATCATACTTAACGAAAAGTGGTAAAAATCGATGACAATCTCTCAAAACACACGGCAGTCACCAGCGGTGTAATCTAAGGTCACCATATTTCCCTTAGTTACATTAGTGATACAATTGAACAAATCGAACATGGAACTGCATTTTATCTCCCGATTATATAAAAATCGCCTACTGGCTCAGCAAGAATGATTCGTGCCAGGCAGTGAGACGTATACATAATCCTCTTTTATCCATAAATTCCTAGCCTCGTCTGCGGCGAATAGCGCTGGTTTCAGACAGGCTTAATGATGAACGGCTAATGCAATGCGCATGTATTCGGAATCTGAAGATGTGGTATTAGGTAATACTTAACTCTTCTGAACAATACAATTATCCAATAGGACAGGCTAAACGAACACTCGGCTTACATTTGTCAATCGTTCGGGCTACATAAAGCTAGTTCTATACGGCGCACTTTCTACCTACATTAGAATATCGTCTACATTAAGGTATTGATATGCAGAAGCGCGATAAAATGGCTCTTATGAGGGTGCGGAGAGGTTTCAACAATCACCTAATAGAATACACCATCGCTGTGATTTACCATGAAAGAATGTCAAGAATTTGGACTTAGGCATTAATGGCTGCTAAGGAAACTCTGATATCTAACCGGATCATAACCACTTTGTGCATATTGATGTCAGTAGTGTGCAGACATCAAAGAACGATACAAACTCGGAAACAACGCATCAGGACAAGGTAGAAATTCGTATTGGTACTGTATTCCAAAATCGTAAAACAAACTGCCAGAATAAATTAGGCTGACTGAAATGCTAAAGATTAGGAAGAGAAACACAAGAGTACATTACAGTGAGTACTATGAAAGGTGTGCGGATCTCAACGGAGACGGGAGCGAAATGCTTGGTCGTCCCAGCGATTGTCGTCTCCTTAGAAAGGCGAGCGGCGTTGGACCTGCCACTGAGTTGATGAGTAATGTAGAATTAGCTTGGCATTCGGATTCATTTGATCTCAAACTTCGAGCCAAGTAAGGTGTACATCGAAATTTTGATCCATTTCAGTATTCCCAGTGACATGAGGCAGTGTTGCCCAAGATCACCCTTTTCATTTAACTTTGTCATGGATGACGTGCTGGAGAGCACCTGGAAAACTGTGGACATAGTGGCGACGAGCTGAAGTTTACAGACAAAAGTGGTAGTAGCTGGTCAGTTGAGCGCACATGACCTGCCTGAGTCAGACAGGCCTGGTAAGCTATTAGCGAGGCCACTCGGGACTACTACCGAAACGACGACGGGTCATGCAGAGAACGTAGGCAGAACCGGCGCAGCGTTTGTAGGTACGCTGTATTCGATTTACTAACCGCGTGCTTGCATGCTAAGCCTATTTCAGGTGGTGGGTTTTCAGTGTTGTCCTAATGCCTTTCTTTCTCATATAAATGTCTAGTAAGCCATGAGTGAGGCCACTAGGGACCAGTATAGAAGCGACGACGGGTCCTGCAGAGAAGGTAGGCAGAACCGGCGCAGCGTTTGTAGGTACGCTGCATTGGATTCACTAACCGCGTGCTTGCATGCTAAGTCTCTTTATTTCAGGTGGTGGTTTTCAATTTTGTCTTAATGCTTTTCTTTCGAATATAAATGTCTACCCGTATTCTATTCCATTAACTTGCGCACCTCGCTTAAGCCAAGTGTACACGATTTCCATAACATTTTTGTGTCCGTGGCATTTCCGTAAAGTATACTTTCTGACCTCGTGAACTTATCTAGGATTCGTTGGTACACAACTTATTTCATATGCTCATTAACTTAAGGTTTACCTCACCGTTTCCTTATGCATTTATCGAGTTATTTTCTTGTCTCTCTCTCTCTCTCAAGTGATTGGCTGTTGTTTGATATCCCCGGTGTGGCTGCGCCTGATGTGCATGTTGACAAGGTGCCTACCTGTCTATTACCCACTACCTCGTCCATACTGGCTCCAGGAGACAGTTGGTCGTTGCTGGAGGGGACGGGGTGCACGGTTCTTGTGGCCGTGCTAGGCTCAAAGAGCGGTTCCGTGCACTCAGTGTGGAGCGGACTACGGTCCAGCCACCGCCTTGTGTGCGCTTGATTCCCAAATACTGTGTGTTTGTGTTTGCTTGTGAAGGAGTGTGGGCCGGCTCCGTTGATGAAACGTGGTTCCCATCCGCAAGCCTCCCGGTCTTATTCCTTCGGGTTTACACTGGATATGGGGTATGTGGTTGGAGCTGTGGGTGGTGCAGCGCAAGCCATCCATGGTCCCTCTGTAGGCGCAGGCATCCTGTGGCTTGCCACAGTGACAGGCAAATCCGAAACCGGATGCCGCCAACCATATATATATATATATATATATATATATATATATATATATATATATATATATATATATATGTAGGCGACGTCGTCCGCATAATCCATACTAACTAGTCTCGAGCCGGGCGATATGTCAAGGTCTACACCGAGAGATTCCGCAAGGCAGCAACCCGAAAAGGAGTCAAGACAAAACTGAGCAATAATGGGGAAACGGGATAACTTGGATGAACGACACATCTGACGAGGTAGTGAACAATGAGAAAGTTTCGAATTTAGCTTGGGAGGAAAGCCGACGGAGTCTATTATATCAGATTCCAGCAAGCGGAAGATACGAAGTTTAAGAACATGTAATCTATAGTACCTCTGGATAGACAGACAGCTGACATACCCCAGGTGTACTTCGGTTGACGCCAGAATTGTCGGTTTGAATGCTGTTGTCATGAGGTGGTGGTAGCATCGGCAGAAAAGACAGTGGATCACCGGATTCATAAAATTGGAAAACAGGAGCGTCATCCTCGTAAACCGGCTGCGACTGGTGCGAACTGTTTGGGGGCGAGGTAAAATCTGAGTTGAGGAGGAAGACAGGAAGACAAAAGTGTATATGTTGTTAATGGGCTCACAAAAGAAAGAATTTCGTTTATAAGGGGAGAAAGTCTCAAAGGGATAGATGTCAATACAGGAAAGTCGAGGCCTAAGTTATGGAGTAATAAGCATTAAGAGTTAGAAGTGAAGAACTTGTGCCAGACAGCAAACCAGTACGCTGAACAACTATGCAATTATATCTCATATCTGACCGGTTAACGGACGTTGGGCTTATGCTCCATAGCTTCACGATTATGGGCCTACGTAGGTAAGGGTAACGACCCCAGACCACACGCGACTGGTGATAAACGCGCGGCAGTGAAGTGTCGGTACGACGTACCGGTGTACGGTTGAAGCTTCTATGTAGAGATGTTGTAACCCAAAGTAACGGATAAACGAGGATGGTAAAGGTCGGCCGGAAAGATAAGGCGTCTACGTGCAACCCAAGAGTAGGTGCGTAGGTTGCGGCGACCTTGCATTATACCCAGTCCACGTGCGACTAGTGGTCATCGCGTGGCAGTGGAGCATCACTACGGTGTGTCGGTGTCTTACTGATGCCCCTTTTACGTTCACCAGGCTTCGCGGATCGAAATTTATGTCTGCATGATAGATATGTTGCTACGAAATATCAACTGGAGAGGCGGATTCAGGGCTGATAATACAACGGAGAGCTACGCTTAATAAAACGAAAGGCAGAAACTGCCTAGAGATCGGGTTTGGAGTACCTGTCATGTGGTTGAATTTCGACGGGCAATTTCTATTGAGAGCTCGGTTTGCTTCGAAGAAGATATCGGTCATTCCGAACACCAAGACCGTATCCAAAGCGGAAGGGGTTTCGGTGTTGCTATTCCTAATAATGACACTTTGAGCACTAGGTAAACGGACCATTTTCATGCAGGGCAAAGAAAGCACCTAGTTAACCCAAAGACGACGAGATTTACGGATATAAATAAGGAAAGTACAGAGCTTCGGAGCACTGGTGAACAGAGCTGCTCGCTGGACAGCGTATACGTGTGGTTCAGCGGCTGATCAAAACCGGCTATACATCGTGAATGCATGACGTCAGCCGCGTGATCGTCAATACATGTGGGAATGACGTAGCCAACTACACTAACAACGAGTCGGAATACCGGTAGCTGAGTTGGCGGTTAAAGTCATGAATGATTCTCAGAGCTTGGCAATTGATTTACAGACGTTCCACCAAAAATCGAGGTGGCATTTTCAGTGCGTATTGACAAGTAACATGATAGCAGATACTGAGCTTCGAACAAATCTAGAGGTGGATGCCGTCGGCTGCGGGACTGCGCTTAATATAAACTCCAATCATTAGAAGTCACGCTTTATTCCGATTGGTAGCTTCTCCGAGCACTCTGGGATACACGAACAACCACTATTGCCTAGGGGGAAACTTGATGCGACGTAGGATGGCATCTTTCAAGTTCATTGGTGTAATGACCAACACGGCTGTTCTGTGCATTATTCAGCCGCTGGCCTATGTGGATTCAAGCCACGGTTTCTAATCCGTATAGTTTCTTTCTCAACTGTTGTTATACTGGATCAAGGCCGATGCGTACATTTAGTAAAATTCTCTGTCGAAAACCAAGCTGTCAGAAATTCTCTTTCTTTTCTTGTACCACTGTATGTCAGAATCTCTGTTCTAGTCCAATCAAAGCTGGGTTTTTCATCATCGATGTGCATCAAAATCGAAGATGACGCATGATGATTTTTGCAGGCAGGCTTGTGCTTGTGTATTCTCGTTGTCAATTTCCGTCCGGTTTGGCCCACATAGTCTTTCTCAGTTTTGGCACGGAATCCTGTATACAACAGTGTGTTGCTTAAGGGCTTCTACTTTCTATCTCGGTTTCGATAACGTCTTTTCCAGTGTGGCTGTCGGTTTGTGAGCAATCAATAGGTGGTGTGGTTTCAGGAGTCTATCAGTCAGTTCTGACACGTTGTTTTACATACGGCGGGATGATCCGTTTCCCTGTTGTCGGTGTTGTGGTGGCATTGATGGTTCTGGGACTGATGTACATTCGGATAAAACTGCGTGGGTAACCGTTGCGCATGAAGGACGCAAACAGATGCTTCGCTTCCGTGGTGCTGCAATCTGATAAGATGCTACGGAATATAGTTCGTACGCAGCTTAGCTAGTGACATTTTGGATGATTGCTGTTGTAGTTCAGGATTAGGTCAGTGTGTGTGTGTGTGTGCCCTTTCTGTAAACCGAGGTGTGTAATTCTCCGTCCACTGTTTTGGAGACCAAAACGTCCATGTAAGGAAGTCGGTTTTCTTTTTCTGATTCCATGGTGAAGTGAATGCTGTCCATTGCACTGTTCAATAACTTGTGCCGCCTGCAAATGGCTGCGTTTGAGTATCACAAAGGTATCATCAACGTACTTAACCCATAATTTCGGGTTAATGAATGGGAGCAGATTCTCTCCCAAGTTTTGCATGACGATCTCCGCGAAGAATCCAGATACAGGGAATCCCCTTGGCGCTCTTTTCATTTGCTCGTAGAATATTCCATTGAATTTGAAGCATGTGGTAAAGCACAAGTCGAGAAGTTTGCATATGCTTCCGGTTGTCCAATTTCCAAGGTTATGTTCACCACTGTTCAGGCGTTATCTGATGCTTTCTTTTGCTACTTATAAGCAGACGAGGTGAACAGGGCAGTGACATCGAAAGACACCATTATTTCCTCATGACCTGCTCGTAGATCTTTGAGCTTCTCCAAACTTGCTGAGCATTGTTGATAGAGTAGTGAGCCGTTAGTTAGATGTTTGAGGCACTTCCACAGTTCTTTAGCCAAGTTGTAGGCTGGGGTACACGGGAGTGACACGATTGGTCGTGGCGGTACACCTTCTTTGTGTACCTTCGGAAGTTCGTAAAACGGTGTGATGTTTAATTCCTGAGCCCTCAGTCTAGCATGCGCCTCGTTTGTTAGTTGGTTCAATTCCTGAAGCATTTTCGGTGTATTGTTCATCTTATTCGCTGATTGCATTGTTGGATCGTCATTCATGCGGCGGTACGTCGCTGTGTCGTCTAGGAGACGACGTGTTTTTCAATATAATCCGTTTTGTCCATTATAACAGTCACACGTCCCTTGTCCGCGGGCAGGATAACGATGGTTTCGTCGGCATTCAAGGCATCCGTGGCGTTCTTCTCTTGTTTTGACAGGCAGTTGTGTTGTTTGCTGCGTGTCAGGACTGGAACTATTGCATGCCTTATTTGCGTCTTAGTCTCTCCATCAATGTCTTGGGATTGTAAGGCATGTTTAAAAACAACAAGGAATTCCGTAGGTTCAACATATTTGAAATCGTTGTTAAGTTCCTTGATGAGGATTCGTCTTTCAGTATCACTGAGTGGTCGTTTGGACAGGTTTCTGACCCAGTCATCATTGGCATCTGGGCATCTGTAGCTTGACAATTTGCATAGCTTGTTTTGTAGAGCAACCTGCTTTTTCGCTTTTGTCTTTGCTGCTCTGCAACCTATCGCCAGATTTAGCAGTTCTGTCATTTATTGATCTACGATTTGTAGGCAGGTTGCTCGGTGTTCAACAAGGCATCTGTCATATTTCTTAATGCGATTGTGAGCGTCAGTAATCATCATTCGTACCATACGTTTTCCAAACTGTTTTGCAACGGCCCATGCTTGTAGATGATTAATCGGCGGCTTGGAATTGACACTTCGAGGAAGAATGTCATTTCGTAAGCACTCGTGAAGGAAAGATAGCTGCTGCCGTGTGGAGGCAAGCCTACAAGAAAACTCCTCTCAACAACGAGTAACACGGAGCGTCGTGCGCTCATGGGTGTTTGCAACGAGTCTGAATACCGGTAGCTCGGGTTGGCGGTTGGTCTTGATTGTTTCTACGAGCTCAGCAATTGGATGGCAGACATTTCACCACCAATCGAGATGGTGATTAGTTCGAAGCTCAGTATCTGCTATCGAGCTACTTGTCATTACGCACTGAAGATGCCACCTCGATTGGTGGTGAAACGTCTGCAATCCAGTTGCTCAGCTCGGAGAACCAATCCATTGTGCATACATCTGAAGCGAAATATTAAAATACAAACAATATAAACGAAGAGTGCTGCGACCGAGTCGTAGCCAGCTCCATGAGTGGATCGCTCCTTTATCCCGGAATCGTAACGAAGACTGCACCCAATCTATATACTGGAGCGGGTAATGCAGTCCAGTAATGGTATTAGACGAGTGGACTTCTTGTTAACATTTGCGACACTATGGTCAATCTACCGTAGCCCCAATGTGCTTCGGAGAGACCAGCTCTAGTAAACAACTATGACCCAGGCACCGAAGTATGATGGGTCTAATTGTCACGACTAGCGTTGGAAGGATAACAAAAATAGCAATAGCAAGGAAAGTGAGGTAGAACGCAAAAGAGCCATGTGATGAATGTTAGCCGGCAATTCAACACTAAACAGAAACGACGATTGCGAAGGACCTTCTGAGCCGTAGATGCGGAAAATATCGAAGCCAAGGCTTCTTCGTGATACTCATGGGGCTCCTTTCAGTAGAATCAGATCCGCGAACGATGTACAGTGCAGTTGATCGGTCAGATCAGCCCTCATGCTATAATTTGACGCATCAGCTGCAAAAACGATTGCTAATTTGTGAGCTGACAGCTGCACTTAAAGTGGATTATCACAGAGCGAGGTCAACAAATTACAGGCACGAGGTGATCGCTGTCGGATCGGTGGAACATCATTCACGCTTTTGAGAGTAAATTGATTGACATAAGAATTGAAAAAAACATCAATATTGTGTCAACGGGAAGAACAGGTGACGAACTAACCGCGGGCACATGTAATCGTCATAACTAACCAAGAGGCTTAATTGACCGAGCTGGAACGTCAGAGATTGGGCGATATCGGACACCGTGTCAAGTTGAGGGACATCCAATAATTTGTACAGGCTTATCGTTTGCTCACGGTAGTTTCACTGCGAATGAATGAATTGCTTGGTGTCGCTTGATGATGGAATGAGGAATTGACTGAACTGAATTCTACGTGGCAAAATCCACCTTAATTGTCAGTACCGTAACCCCTTCGGTAGGCAGGTCAATGCCTGTAACTGATTCAGCTAAAAAAAACTTGAAATCCATCGTCCCTGACCTGAACATAGTAGCGCTGACGAGAAGCTATTGTCAGTCGACAAAATCGACACTGCAAAAAAGTAACGCCCAAAAACATTAACGTCAGAGAGGAGTCAAGACAAACTGGCTCTCACTATGGTTTTGCATACACCACTACTAAGGCAAAAGAAATCCCGTTGCTAAGCGTGGATATGATCGATCCACGGAGGGAATTCCGGCCTCCGCAATAGGTGAGTCAATTTAAGCACTCACGCACAGGTCGCTGATGATGCAGCTATCGAAACAATTGAATTGACTAACTCCTCATAGTTAAAATTCCGGGAGCCAGAAAGTGGATAGTGGTCTCGTGAAAGTACTTCGTACTTTGATGGTGCAAAGCGTGAGACTAGTCCGGTTAATTTGCGGTGAGTTGATTGCTGCTTCGTGATTGTTTGCGTAAGCAAGATCAGTATTCCACTTATTCCCAAACAAAACAACAGCTTGGACAGATTGGACAAACATTTACTTATGCGGTCTGAGATAAGACAGGACGTTGGATGATGCAACAGGTTGCTTGCCACTGTTATCTATTGAGTGATAATGTTCATATACCTCAGAACCATACATAAATGATGAACCAATGGCTGGGGAGTGGAGGAACCTGATCTCAACATTCTCCTCGTGAGTAGTAGAGTGGTTATCCCTAAAGCCAGTAGCTTAGAACTAACCTCATTTCAAATGCCGTAGACTATGAAGACGACGTACTGTCTCAGGTAATGCACAAGTATCCTCTGGAATTCCACCATCTGCCTTAAGTAAGGTGGCCACTGAAGAGTGGTGTTTAAACACAACTCAACCGTGGTTGAGACGATCGCGATACCAATTACGATGCAAAGTCACAAGTGGCTCGTTCTGAACCTACTAGGGATGAGTGCGACAGACTTCAGGTGGATCCGAGACGTGTCCTGCCGTAGCATCCCAAAGCTGAAATTGGCTATAGCAGTCACGTGAAGTAAGCTGTTGTGCTTGAGACCACAAATGGGGCAACCTATGAAAAACCCAGTCTATTCAAATGTTTCATGAGTAACAATATTAAATTAAAGGCTAAAAATGGGATCTCTCAAACCGAATCACTGAGTCGCAATGTGCAGTCAGAGAACATCATGTGACAGCAATGCCTGTGACCGGGACAACGAGAGTAAAAAAGCACAGATTATAGGTAAGAATGAAACAAAACCAACCTTGGAAGCGGTTGTTGGAAGCGACTGCTGGTGGTGTCGATAAGAGCGGAACGGAAGTAGAAAAGTCATCACCATCACGACCGTGCAGTGTGGAAGTAGACAATTCTAAATTTGTGGGAGAGATGCTTCGTGTGGACAAAAATTTAAGACCACCATTTTGTTTGCATAGAGAAGCATCGCCAACTGGTACTGAGGAAGGACGTGTTGACAGCGGCGTGATGGTACATCGGGTGGAAATCGTGCTTATGTAAGGTGATAAAGAAGGGCGCGTAGCTGCCGAAGAAGATAAACGGGAAGACGAGAGGTAGAAAGGTTGCTTTGGTGGATCAATCATATTGTCCAGTATTGAAATGAATAAGAATTCCTTGCAGCAATATCAAATGTGGCGAAACGTGTGCCACAGGTGCAGAAAACGCACGGGAGCGTAGGAGCATTCTCAGGAACAAATCTGCAAAAGCAAGGAGAAGAACAATGTTACAAGCACTACTGATATATATATATATATATATATATATATATATATATATATATATATAAAACCAGAGGTATACATAATAGGTGTAGGTCCATACAAGCCATAAAAGTGAGGGGTAGTGAAGAAGTGGCAAGCAATATAGTTAAGTACGTCTTCTCGTCTACACACGTCATGTGCTCTATCATTATCTATAACGACTTTAGCAATGAACATGCATGCAAGCATACAAGTACTCAGCTTTTCCACAGAACCCAGGTTCTGCTGTAGCTTCGAATGGTTCTAATAAATGGCACTCAAGAAGTCAACAATGACTAGACAAGACCACTGCAATGACACTGGACTTTAACGTAGTGCGATAGTTTGCGTACCACCTGACCCATTGAGCAACGCTGGTTGGCACTTTCCAAATACCTTCAGAAGCAATCGTACCAGGCAGGTCAATCGTTAGGGGGCAGACTTACTCAGTCTCACAATCCAATCTTCTTCGGAGGTTAGGAAGAGTTCGATAGCCCCCTACCTTAAAAACGTAACTGTGGGAGACAATTTTTTTTTACTCTGCTGCATATTCCTTGTCAATTTTGCGTGTTTGCATTCCTATAAATTATGCTTATTGTTTGATATCCCCCGCGTGTATGCGCTTGATGTGAATAATGACAAGGTGCCTACCTGTATAACACCCTCCACATCGATTACTGAGTCCGGAGGACTGTGAATGGTTTCAGGGTAGATGGGCGGGTTGCACTCTCCTCGTGGCCGCGCTACGCTCAAAGAGTGGTTCCATGCAACCGGTGTGGAGCGGACTACGGTCCAGTCATCGCCCTGTGTACCTCTGGTACGCATGATTCCTTAAATTGATAGACATGAATGCTGCTGATGGGCGTGCTGAAGGAGTGCAGACCGGCTCTGTTGATGAAACGTGGCTCCCATCTACATGCCCCCCGGTCTTATTCTGTCGGGTTTACAATGGATATGGGGGATGCGAATGAAGCAGTGAGTGGTGCAGCGGAAGCCATCCATGGTCATTCTGTAGGTGCAGACGTCCCGTGGCTGTCCCATGGAGGTCACAGTGACTGGCAAATCCGGAACCGGATGCTACTAACCATGGGAGACAACAGGTCTACGGGTTATAAGCTCATAGCTCAATTCACAGAGAGCAAGAGCGACACGCATTGTCTTTGACGGCGGAACGACACCTCCCGGTGCTCACTGGTTTGCTACCACTCGTCTCAAGTCAGGCAGCCACTGGTCAAATTGATGCAAACCAAACAACTGCCACCTGCGCTAGCCGTGGTCGCAGGTGCGTAACATAATACGACCGTAAAACATTTGTGCATTATTCTAAACCTTCAAAGGCTGTGCGTGACAGACCACAAGAAAAATTCATTGGGCCTTTGCAATCACACTCCCGAGGTGGACTTGCTCCCCACTGTCTTGTGGGTCAGGCTATTTAGCCAAAGGCTCTGGGTAGTCTCCGAAGCTAACCTCCATGTACGTCACTGCCATGTGGGTCAGAATGTTGAGACAAAAACTAAAGACAGGGCACTTCGAACCAAACCCCTCTCTCGGAATGGGCAGCCGGAGAATATCAGCTACCATCTGGAACACGTTGACAATATTCTTATTTCTTGCTTTTTCCTTACCTCCCCCTCCCCTCTCCTCTGTCTATAGAGCAAGAGACTGCCAGTGACCTCGCAGTTGCTGACATCGATACATGCAGCTCTCCTAGCAAACCAAGATTTTCATTTCACATTGGATCATGTAATGTCCGCACTCTAGGTCAAATCGGTCAGCAGACAACACTGACTCCTACGCTTCACTCTCTTGCTATCGATGTGTGCTGTGTCTCCGAAATACGCATACAAAATAACAGCGTCGTGACGAATTTTCGACTTTCTGGTTCTGAATCTGACGACCATGACAACACACTTCGCGTGCCTGGAGATAACGAGTCAATCGCTCAAGGTATTTACAGTGTTGGTATCACCCTCAGCAAAAATGCTGAAAACAAACAGCTCGATTGGATACCGGTGAACAGCCGCATGTGTGCGATTCGACTTCGAACTAGCGATGGAGATAATAATCAGAGTCTGAAGCTAAGGTGCCTTTTTATCGCTTCCGTTCATGCCACTACTGAATGCACTTCAGGTGTCTATCAACAGCTCTCATCTCTAGTTCGCATAGCGAAGAATACCGACATCGTGATTGTTATTGGTGACACGAATACCCAAGTGGGTCGTCTTTCGGACTCTGAACAGCAGCTGGGAGTGCGCTTCGGAGTCGATGCACACCGCACTGACAGTGGTGATCGATTCCTGCAACTGTGAGCCGACCACAACCTTTACCTTGGCAGCATTGCCCTATAGCACAAACGTTCACGTTCATGTGTGTTTGCTGAATATTAATCGCTTACGTTAGCTAGGCCATGGTTGCCGTACTCAAGTTGACCGGCTTCTTCGGCGTGCATTATATGCCATAGTTTCACCAAGTTGGGTGAGACTTCGAGGTGGCCAGTCCATGACATAGTATAGAAACTTGAAGGAATTGACTGAGAGACTTGGTCAGGCGGGTGCGTGCCGTGTTCGTGGATGGGGGCCTCGAGATGGCCCACACTAATGGTTGGAGATCATATCTGACATAGCGCAGTCACACAGTCAGTGGCGTTCTTGCATTTGATTTCTTGCATCCGGTTGTTGATCTTCATTCTATTCTGATTGGTTTAATGCACTTTCTCCTTGCTTCCATTTATTTTACATTCTATTTGTCTGTAACATCATTATTGTGTCGGCGTTAGTTATTGTTATTCTTGCGATGTGAGTCGTGTCAACTGGATCCGCCGCAGTTCGGATCATAGTTGATCAAATGTACTGAACTGAACAGACAAAAAGAAGTCAGCGACTTTATCCTCTGTTGCAAAATGGTAATCTGACCAAAGTGTAGTCATTTCTGGTGTGTCTATGCACGAGCAAAGTGTGTGGCGACATGGACGTTATTAGGAACACAGTCGTATTTAGCAGATTACCACTTTACGGGACAAGCGGCTTAACCTCGTCACTATGAGCACAGTGTTGCGGCTACAAGTGAGTGATTCTTTTCAAAGACCAATTATCGGAGGCCAAAAGCTGAACCATGTTGCCAACAGGAGCATATCAGGATTCGGGTTTAAAAAGCAAATCCGTGAGAACAGTGACGTCGTAAAGCTCGCCTTTGAAATAAACAAAGCCACCACAACAATGTCTCGAATGGATTATGTTGGAAAATGGTGATGCGTGTAGTAGTTCAGGCTTATTTTGTTACCGTGTCTTGGGTTAGATGCCCCGTTTCTGCATGGGTCTGCATGCTCCGTAATAGCTCATCCCAAGTGCAGCAGCCTGTAGAGCCATGGAAACGACGTACCAAAGTAGAGTGCTGGTATCAACTGAGACTACGTAAGTAAATACCGGAGTAGTCCTAGAGGTGTGAATAGTTGCGCCAGAACATATACGAAACTCTCCAAATCAAGAGCAAGCGCAGGAAAAAGAAACGTAACCCCTGAACATGCCTTTGTTAAGTGAATCAAGTGGGGAACCATTTAGAGTGAGTTAATAATTCTAGGTCAATCATTATACACGTTAGATGAAGGTGAGAAATACCTCAGTTATCTTGCCAAAATAGGAAGGATCTAGTGACAGGACAGCAGAGACCTTACGTGATTGTGAGCTAAAACTATAAGAGTAACGCCCACCAAAGCAGACAATCGCAACAAGACTGGACCCTATCGTGGTGCGTTGGTTTGCGTGTAACAATTATCCATTGCATGGTGCGCCTTCGGAGTTGCTCATATCAAACTGGTCAGTGATTAGAGATCAGACGAACTCAGCCACTGGTCCTCCAGGTTGGGAACTTGGGCAATGTTGGTTCTTTTCTGCTTAAATTAGACTATCTGTAGCCTACTGCGGTCAGGTTTTCGAACCAAATGTGTTGGTTGAGAACGTAAATCGTTCTCTTGTCTAAGGCTAGACAAACTAACATTAGTCTGCACACGGAATACTATGAAACCTCCATGCTCATCCACCCTATCATTGGCTTGACATCCTCGGGTTCCACCAAACTAAGAGAGGTGTTAACAGAAAGACACCGGGGAAGTCGGCATAGCAGCATATGACCAACCAACTGGGGATGACCAGAGTTCAACAAGCTCTCCAATAAGCACCAAAGATCGAGCTACGAAATTCACTATTACTCACTTAATTATCCACGTTAACAATAAATCGGAACCATCAATGATCAAGCAGAATCTGTCCCTTAAAATTCTCATCATCACCAGTACATGTTAACTGAAGGTATGTTATATCTACCTCTTGGTATGCGATGCCGACTGAAATGAACTCGTTCTCCGCAAGCTCGAAATCAAAGTCAACGCGTGGGAGCAAAAAGCGGTGTAGAGGAACCTACTGAAACGGAAACAAGTAGTGTGAAACAAATGGATATCTACAATGCAACCTAGAAGGTTCACATGTCAGAACAGCTAGGTCAGCTGTCCCGACTAGGTCGGTCTCGCCTGCGCATCGTGTGAACGCCAACGTTCCATAGGCGGAAGTACTTGAAACGACTCGGTGTTTCGGTTAGATACCACTGGCTCAACTCATTTTCCTATTGAAAGAATGAGTTCTGGGAGATCTTACTCCCCCGAACAGTAAGAAACCCACATTAACCAATGTGTCGCAATGTATAAATATCAGTATAATCATTATACGTTGGCTGAAGTTGAGTGAGAAACATACCGTAACTACTGTGCTGCAAAACAAAAGGATAAGAGGTATGAAAAAACGGAGACAAAACATTATAGTGTATCAGAACATATTGTGCCTCAAGACTGAGAT